TATATCTGGCAGTGCCCCCTCGAGAACAGACTCTGAATCCACCCATGGCTGTACATTGGTTCTGGTCTGATGTCTGCCACACATTGGTTCTGGTCTGACCCGAAGTGCAGAAGGAGTTCGACTCAACTGATCCAACAACATCTGGATCGGCTGAGCCGAACCTTATGCAGGCTACTCACTGCTCTTCGGCCTATTCTTATAGATGCCGAACAGCAGTGAGTGAATAGCCGGCTCGGCTGTTCTGCTCGGTCCCTCAGAGGGACCGAGCAGAACAGAAAAATAGTTTAAAAAGTTTTTAAAAAAGTAAATAGAAAATGATTGTGCGGAGCTAGCAATGACAGCTAGCTCCGCCCAACAGTTTTCTATTGTCCGGCGGTTCTTGGTTCTTGTCTGAGGTCTGTCGTACATTGGTCCTGGTCTGAGTTCTGCCGTGCATTGTTTGTGGTCAGGGATGGACTGACCATTTGGGCAAATGGACCATTCTGGGCCTTACCACATACACCAGAGCTGGTGGGGAAGACAGAATTGTTTTTCATACTGCACTTGCTATCTGCGCCGAAACACCCGATCAGGTCTTAGATTATTTCGGTTCCCTTGTCAATCCTCCTACTAATTCTCCTAGCAGAGTTGTGGAATCCTAATCAAAACAGGCAAACCAGAAAAATTCTGCTATTTAGCTCACTTTTCAAATTGCCTATATTGGTCTAGATTCTGAAATTCTCCTACCAATTGCCCTGCAATTCACCTTTTAGTGAATAGATCTGCTATTGTCTCCCGATCCCGGCCGCCCAGGAGAGAAACACTGCTGTTTCTTTATTCTGACACGGAGCCATGTCAGAATAGAAAAAAATCAAATAAAAAGGTTTGCCCATTGGAATGCATTGCTAGATTCCTATTGGCTATTTCAATTTGCAATAACCAATAGTAAACTAGCATTGAACCCGCCCTCTGCTTATGGACCTGATGGAGAACTACAGCAGAGGGCGGGTGCAATGCTAGTTTACTATTTGCTATTGAAAATTGAAATAGCCAATAGGAATCTAGCAATGCATTCCAATGGGCAAACATTTTTTTTTCTAGTCTGACACGGCTCCGACTCCCGGAGCGCCAGGGAGAGTTAGCTGTTTGGAGATCAGTGTCCCTGGTTAGTAGGTAACCAGGGACGCTGATCTTTCTGCAAGAGGCCGGAGCCAGCCGTAAGATCACGGCTGGCTCCACCCAGCTGTCAGAAGCAGGCTGTCGGCCTGCCAGCCTTGTCTTTCAGCGCGGCTCAGCCGTGCCGAGGCATATGCGTTCAGCTCGACTGAGCCGCTCGGCCATGTTCGGGAGCTGTATGGGCTATAGTGAATAGCCCGTACAGCACCCCTTCGGTTCTATTGAACCGAAGGGGTCCTGGGGCCGAAGCTGGCTAGCAGCTTCGTGAAGAGACCCCAATGTTTACAGTAAAGTATTCTACAAGACTATGTAACTTATGTAACTAATTGTATACTTCAATAAAATACACCTAACATCCAAGAACTCAACATAGGGGTCTATTCACAAAGCTGCCGAGGGCAGCCGAGTGAATGACCGATCAGAAGTGAAGTGAGCCGAACAGGCGCTATATAAATCCTGTATAATAATAATAAAAATGTAAATTTGATTTAGACACTTTTTAGGTTATAAAAAATTAAAACTAATAATTTGCTAATGCTTGCTACAATTTCCACTATATTTTGCCAATAAAAGTATTACCCCTCTGTTGTAAAAAAATTTTTTATAACATGGTACCATACTTCAAGGCTTGCATTTTTTATAGTATATCAATTATAAAACATTCCAACTGGCCTACATACATGTACGGTTATAGAGACACAGGTTTAGGGAAAAAAAATATTTTGTTTAAAGTTACTAGGGTAGTGTATATTATACATACCTTATCTTGTACCTTATACAGAAGATAAGTTTTACCTAGCACGTTCTACTATGGGTCACCTAATCTCAGGTAACCTTTGAGGTAGCTACATTTATTACCAGTACTACCTAATTGTATGTGTATACTTTTAATTCATTATGTTTTAATTAACTTAATTCACCATTTATCAAAATGTTTTAAATTGTATTTTGAGTGCATTATACCCCAAATGTACCCCTTGAACCCATCAGAATCAACTGATGGAGTACACGTGCCACTGGTTATAAACAACGACACAAAATTATCAAATGCATTCAATTAGAAGCAAGTGTTTTTTAGACAGTTATTAAGTCATCAGTACCACCATTCACGTGGAAGTACATATTGCACTTCATTATTGACCTGAAATCTGCATACAAGCGATGGAAATACCAAATGCATAGAGTAGTTCCTTTTTTCAGATAAAGGTGTAGGGTATAAAGATTATAGTACCTAAAAATAATTACCTGAAATGTGGTGTGTGTGCCTGATTAGACCTGGTTAGTTCCACTTCATTAATAAATTAAAATTAGAAAAGCTGTCAGTTGCCAATAAATGCCTAAAGGTGATATTGTGTTCTAGAATGACATTACACAGCATCTCTGTTGCCTGGTGCCCCTGGAAGAAAGTTATTATGGGGCATCTCAGCATTTACTTGTAACATAAAAAGGTTTGCTGCATTATGATTAAAGACCTCTAAACGTGAGCTTTACAAACTCAATTATTTTACACCTTAAAAATATTTATCTATACATCTAGGTTAGGAATAGGTATCAGGAGAAATTTTAAAAATGGCATAAACATTTTACTTACATATAAGGTTTTCAGACAATATGTCTGATTTTATGATGCAACAATGTCATAGTGAAATGCATTAAATGTAATTATACAATGATATTTCCAGTCATTTATATATAAATACAGTCAAACCTCCAATTTGTTCATTGCAAAAGAAAAACTTGTGTTCAAAAATCTAATATTGCTCAACATAGGTCAAATAGAAACATACATGGAACCTGCTGCAAATCCCTGCATTAGTCTACATTTATTGATAAATAGATAGAATAGAAAACCCAGTCAAGTATAGCATCCAGCATCAAGATGTTACTAGTCCAGTGAATTTTAATGAAATGTGTTCTTCAGATTGGTTGGGATGCTGTACACTAATGCTCTTTGTTCCAAGTTTTTTCACAGGTTCGCCAGGACAAAGTTACATTATTTCCTTGGCCATTCGGATTTACACAGATTCGGTAATTTACAGCCTTCTCCTCCATGGGAGAGATGAAGGCAATTTGAAGTATGCACTTATCTGAAATGATCTAGTTATTAGGTAGTTGTTGCCTTAGAATGGAATAGGTAATTGTGGTAACATCTGCCCTATTGGCCACTACGTTTCAGAATAGGTGACTTTTCAAACAGCCGTTGGCTCCTCTGTGAACAACAATGAGCTGTGGCCTCAAACTCAGTAAGAAGTCCTGGTTAAGTGGGAAGTGTTTATCTAATTTATGAAGAAACTCTTTCAGCATACCTTGCGTGTGTTTTTTAAGTTGTTGACTAGCACCCTGGGACCCCAGCAAAGTCGGATGCTGGGATGATGAAACAATAAGCAGGTCTGTTGGCTCTTGCTCGCATTCGTCCACACCTTACTGCTGGTTAACAAAGCTACCCATTCTAGTTTTGGGCCTATAGTAAGGCATGTGAGGCAGAGGGGGCCAGGCAGAGCCAGTCTGTGACATGGTCACTACTTCCTTGTGAGGACACCTTGCTGTTCTGGGGACTTCTGCAACAAATCATAAAGGGAACTAGAGATGTCTGTTTCAAACGGCCATTGACTCACTTTAAAGTAGACCTGTCCTAAATCTACGTAACTGCATCTGCAGTTATACATAGAAACAGTACCCTATTAAACAACAAAAATATTGCAAGTAAATGCATTTTGTGGCATAAAATGAGCAAGAAAATTATATCAAAGAAAAGGCAAGAAAAGAGCTTAGAAAAGAAAAAAGTATAAATCAGTGGATTGACTGTATCATTTGCGTCATACACCTACATTACCGCATTAAATAATACGATTATGCTAATAATTATATATTTACATGCATGTGGGAGACAATCAAGTGTTAACAGAAATGTGCATATGACCTTGGCACTTTTGTGATTAATTTGAATGAGTAGCTATATTTCTGCTTTCATACATTATGTACAAAATTTCCATGACAGAAAAAAAATGGAGCTTAATCATATTTAGAATTATTACATATATATTCATTTACAGTATATTTTAACAAAGGTGTACTTTTTGGTTTCAAGCATACAAACCTTAGATCATCCGTGTTGTGCCAAAATTTCCTGCATGTACATGCTTAGTCTTCTCTATTAAAGTATGCAAGCCCAACGTGCCAACCCTACATGCTAGAAAAAAGAGAGGGGGCAAATGTGTGTATGGTGTGCGCGTATATTTTTTTCTTTTTTTATGTATGTGATATATATAACATATATATCACATACATACAGTATATACATATATAAATATATGCATATATTTATATGTAATATAATATATTGTTTTACATACACATAAAGCTTTTGTCATCCGAAAATCTTTCAATACATTATATTTAAAGTTCTATTTTCATATTTACATGTCCTTAATATTTTGCTTTTCATTTGTATGACTTCATGTCCACTCTGTCAGTGCAGAGAAATCATGGCTTAAATTTTGAGAAATGTTTTTTCTGGGTTGAAATACTGCAAAGCATGTATTAAAGTAATTCTTCCATGTTCCACAATGGTGTCACCATCTTCCACATTGGTTGGACATGGTTGATTCAGTAGCTAAGTCTAGGGTATGTGAAATTTTGTATGTCTGTTCAGTGCTATGCCATGCAACTTTGCTCTTTTCTTCAGTAAAAAAGAAAAAAAAAGCATGCCTTGGTTTTTCCTTATTGTTTTTTGAGAAGAGTTAGTCATGCTTAAGTTCGATGAAGCATACTGAGTGCCAACCAGTGAGATTCAAGGTTTTTTATTTTTCAACCTTAGATTTGCAAAAAAACTATTGCACCTTTATTTCATAATGTTATATTGTAGGCTGATTTGGAGTTCGAAAGAGATATATCAGCGATCAGGCCTTTACATTCTGATGAGGATATCCAATGAGGATATTGTGTCAAAATATCAAAGGCTCAAATTTGATGGCCATGGATGAGATGGAGTTGCGATTCCCCATAAATGTGACATTGGAGTCCTTGACCAGTGGATGTAGGAAGACAACATCCAAGTTGCCTCATATTCCAGACTGAGATGGATCGTATCTTCTCTTCTTGACATTTCTTCCGGGATGTATCAAAAGAAGGTAGAAAGAAAGGCAGAGGATCATTAGTGGCATGTAATAAACACAAAATGAACAAATAATGGTTGTGTTTATGGCAGAGAATGCAGATCACCATGAGGTAGTATTGCAGAAAATTCTGTACTACAATCAGGACTTTACAGTCACTTATGACAGCAATATAAATGATGTAATAATGCAGTGCATGTATTTAGGTATATGTTATGTGTGCTGCATATCAGATGTCAGTAAAAAAACTACAGCATTGACACTGTAGTGAATAGAATACAGTACCATTTGGTGAGTGCCCCTCTACCATGCAATCCAGCCATTTGTTATACAGACACAATAGAAGGAGAATGGAGTCATCCAATGTTTAGTAAAGAATTTCCAGCCATGTGTACAGCAATTTTGTTAAAATGATAAGTGCATTGAGCAGCGATGTCCATTCTCCTTACTCATACGTTTTCACTAAAATAGAGCATAACATTACAGTGCAACAACAAACACTGGGTGCAACCTCCTCATAATCTGGCTTTATGTGGGGCATCAAGCAGAAGGGCTCATGCATTCAATATGGATACAGTTGGCATATGCACCACTACCGCCCTCAGGTTAGCATGCAAAAACACAGAACAGTAGTTTCAGAATATGCATATGCAGCCATGTGTTCTGTGAGACACTTGTGAAAAGTTTTGTTGGTTTACAAACACAAAAGTGATCTCCAATACATTTTTCACAAGATAAAAAGCAGGCAGTTTTCAAAGTTTTATGAGATACAAGCACACAAATTTATACGCAATGTTAAAACCTCTCAAAATTACAATATACAGGCCCATAACCCTAATATAATCAACACAGCACATAAATGCAACAATGCACATACATGATCCAGATTTTATATTTACATCAAATATAAGGGTATCTAACCAGACATGATTGTGTTATATACTGTGTACAATGTGATGATATTTACAGTAAAGCAAAACACAAACTCATGTGGCGGTAGCAAATGATGCCACTAAAAGGCTAGAAGAAAACTACTGCTATACTTTGATGGTACCTGTCAGCAAACATTTCTTTAAGTAGTAACAGTTTTAGCTTAAGGTTTGTATGTTCTGTTATTGGGATACACATTGTGAGCTTGCATGTTAAAATGAAAGAACTGTAACTTTCAAATATTTGTATATCTGTTAGCATGACATCCACCCTGTTTATACTTCTGTCCTAAGTGAGCTGATATTTTTACTAAAAACCTAAGGCTGGGTTCACACCTAGGTGTATTGAATATGCGCGCTTGTCAAACGAGCGTTTCTGAGGGCTACCTGGCTGTATCCCAATGGATACGCGTGGCAAATACGCCCCAAAGAAGCTCCTGTACTCCTTTGGGCGTAGGGCGTTTTGTAGTGCGTTCATACGTCCTGTAAAATGCCCAGGTGTGAACCATACCCATAGGAAATAAAGGGATTTCGGTGTTTGAGCGTTTTGCAGAGCGTAGGAATGCGCTACAAAATGCCCAGGTGTGCACCTGGCCTTAAGCAAATCTTTGCCTTGCCAATAAACCAGTAGCCCACTTCTTGGCTACTGATACTTAACTTCCCACCTTCCTACCGGAGCCCTTAGAAAAGTTTTGTATAAGCTTCAAGTTGGACCTGCTTTTAGCAAGAAGGTTGTGCAATTCTTTGCATGCTCTGGTTCTAAAACAGTGGCTACCTAAATAAACAATATAACAGATAGAGCAAGGCCATGTCGAGGATCATATCAGTATCTGATTTGAGGTCTGTGTTTATGTAGGTTTCTTCCATGAGGGCAATGAAGCTATTTGGGGATAGTTTATATATAATGTCAGTGACATTTTAAAGTGGTTTCTACTTACAATAAAAGAAATTAGAAAATATTTTGTGGCAGGATTCCCTCCACTGAGTCATCCTTTGAGTTGCAAATCTTAATTCTCTAAGGGGTCTATTCACAAAGCTGCCGAGGGCAGCCGAGTGAATGACCACCAGGTATGCACAAAGCTTGCATTTCACTCTTACAATGCAATACTTGGTGACTTACAGGGTTATTCACAAACAGGTGAATAGTTTGGAGAAGGCAGGAGAAGTGAACAATCTAGGACAACATCGCTGAACTGGAAAGTGAGTTGGATTGGAGAATTTTTCCAAATCAGCTATGTTGTCCTAGATTGTTCACTTCTCCTGCCTTCTCCAAACTCTACAGCCTTTTGTGAATAACCCTGTTAGTGATCAATCACCAAGCCCAAGCTTGCCTAACAATGTTCAAGCATCAGGAAGCTTTTTATTTTAGTATCTTTGCAGTTCTAGTAATACTCTAGGGGTGGGAGGTGTTATATTTTCTTATTTATGTAAAATATTTGCTGATCCAATAATATTCTAGGGGTTGGGGTGGGAGGAGTTATTTCTTATTATTTATTTATGTAAGTGAAAGGTTTGCTCTAAAATCAACAGAATTAACAGAAAAAACAGTGCAAAATAGCGGTTAAGAGCATCTTTCAAACTAAAACTTCTGATTGTTTTCTACTGCATGACACATTGTACAATATAATCAGTTAAACACAGTTCACAGATAAATTATATCTACAGTAAAACACTGTCAGTTTCCATTATATCATCTTTGATTATCAGTCTAAAAGCATCAGGGTAAATAATCCATCCACAATGTACAAGAAATAATTTGAGATTTGGCAATTACAGAAAGTGTGCTATATAAATGTAGACATTTATATGATAACAAACTATTATCATTAGTACACATTATAATTACACTTTGGGGTTTAGTTATAAATGTTTTCACAGAAGATTCAAACAACTTTCATGCAAGATTCACACATTTTCTAACTGAATTTAATTGGGAAATGTGTAAATCCTGTGTGAATGTTGTGTGAACACACACTTATGAATAGGCCCCTATAAGCTTAAAAAGTGCTAGGTTTTAAATTACTGCTAAACTATTAATATGATGATCTGGCTGGACTGATTACATGTTCTGCATATTTTAAATACTCTGTAATTTCTTCTAAAGGTGAAGTCAAATAGGCATATCTTAGTATTGGAGTATGGTGGGGGTGGATGCAGGTCGGTTAATATGGAGTTTGCATACACACTGCCTAAGTTGTCATAGATTTTGCTGTTTTTCACAATGCAGGTAAAATACTTTACCTTCAGATAATTCATTGTTCCTATCTGGACTTGCTCACACTAAATTGGAGTGGGACAATGTCTACATGTGCAGCCAACCTGGTCTATCTGTTATTTGCTGTGGCCTGGAGAAGTCTCAGTGTGCCCTTTGACATGAAGTCATTTTCAGACACAAGACACAAGTGGTGGGATCAAATGATACTCATCTTATATCACTATATACCATTATTTTTAACAACTTTTTTTCTTTAAATAATCCCTCCCCCCCTCCCCCCCCCACCTTCATGAGTGCTGCCACTAGATACTTACCTTCAGACCTATTTCAGAAATCTTGACTGTGCAGCCCCACTCAGCCGCACATACCTCCAAGTGACTGTGTGAAACCACTACAAGGGGAATTTATCAAAACTGGAGCAGACAAAAACTGGAGCAGCTGTGCATGGCAACCAATCAGATTCTCTCTTTCGTTTTCAAATCTTAACTGAATAGACTGAAGAGGGACGCTGATTGGCAACTGCTCCAGATTTTGATAAATTCCCCCCTATGTCTATAGCTAAATGGAGCTGTGATGCACATGTGCAGTACAAAGCAAACATTTCCAGTGGGGCCACACAGTGAAGATCATTGGAACAGGGCTGATGGTAAGTGCAACACCCAGCAGCATTCAGAAGGTTTGGGGATCTAATTAAAGAAAAAAAATATAAGCATGTACTTTAACCTCCCTGGCGGTATTCCCGAGTCTGGCTCGGGGTTCATTTTCCATACCAGGAACAGGGAGGTTAATGTTCTTAAACCACAAGTTTATAGGAAATCTCTCACACCCTTTTAAAAAAAAAAGATAGATGACAGTGTTCTAGAAATACACACTGTTGATATTTAAATCAGTGAAGTAGAAAAAGAGCCATGTTATCTCACCCTTATCCAAATGCAAAAAAAAGATATCCAAGCTTATTTAGCAAAAGAGAATATGATGTACAAAGGGAAGTAACCATCGGTAACCAATCAAATTTCAAATGACTGTAGTCAAACAAATGATTTCCTTTTGGCTGCTATGGTTACTAGATTTTGCACATTGCTTTTGCATAGCATTACTGTGTGCCTTACGCTACCCATGGATATAAGACAATGGTCTGAATAAATCTGAAATATTCAATCAAACACCCATTTGGCTAAGAAAGTACATGGATTCTTTCCCAGAGGAGCACTGCCAGAAAAATAAATATATATAACTGTAATTTTTTAGTTTTTTTCGGATTAATTAACTTTTCGCGCGCCTATGTTGCCTTCTTGGGACTAACAAACGATGAATTACAATATGACTATGCAGTTCCTGAATCTAAAAGCAGTTCAGTACCCTGTGTATTGTTTCTGTAGAAAAGATTGCTAATACTTATGGAAGAATCATTTGTATAAAAGAGGTTTCACAAGTCTGGAAAATAGTTTTCTTTTCTTTTGAATTTTACAGTCCAAAGTACTGTTTTCTAATTCCATTTTGCCCTTGCAAATGTGGAATAATAAGTTTGGTGAATTTTTATTTGTGGGAATAGAAAAAAATTATAATCACAGCTAATGGGGGCAGAAGGGATAATGATATTGCATCTGGTCAGATTTTATGGGTATCAGACTTCTTAGGGTAAAGTTGAATTTTCAACATCAGATATCTAGGTGCAGCTAGAGCATTGCCAATCTATTGTTAGATGGAATATCAGGAGGAATGGCAAAAGCAACCTTAATATACAACAACACTACAAAAACACTCCAGCCCCCTTGCCTCCCTAGCCAACTAAGTTAATATAACCTAGAAACCACCCCAGCATATACTTACCTCATCATGGTGGTTTCC